TAGCTAATGGTCAATTAATGTTCATCAAACAAGTCATTATGAACGCTAAAAATCGTCCGATACGAGGGATGTCTTTTAAGTTTTGCATATAGAAACATAGTAGGCCGCGCGGATCGAACGTCAGTACTGAATTTTAACGTCACTCTTCAGTAAACTTAAATTCAAAGTTTCACAACAATACGTGCAGCGTTCTCACTACAGTGAATTTTTAAGTGTCACCAAGTCATTATAAAAATGGAACTCAACCGAGAACATTTTAGCGCCATAATTTATTACAACTTTCAGAGACAATTATCGCAACAAGAATGCCTTGCTGAGTTTCTGCCTGTTTCGGCAACGAAGCGCCACATCAGTCGACAATTTCCCGTTGGTATGTAGAATTCAAACGTTAACGGGTGAGTCTTAGCGACGATCCAAGAGTGGGTGCACCAAAAACGGCAGTCACCCAGAAAACGTCGATGCTGTGCGCTAACTCATCATTGAAGATAGACATGTGACATATCGCGAGATTGAGGCGTCCTTGAAGATCTCAAAGACCTCAATTCAAAAAAAAATTACATGAAGAAATAGGAGTAAGAAAATTAGTTTCTCGTAGGATACCCCACCTGTTGACTGAGGAGCAGAAAGCAGCCAGAGTTAATTGGTGCCAAAAATGCTTGACCGTTTCAATTCCGGAAAGTTAAAAAATGTGTTCAGCATTGTTAGTGGTGATGAATCGTGGATTTACTGTTATGAACCAGAAAATAAACGATAGTCGGCTGTTTGGGTGTTCCAAGGTGAAGAAAAGCCAACAAAAGTCATCCGTTCTCGAAGTGTCTCGAAAAAGGTGGTCGCGACATCTGTGTCAAAAGCGGGTCATATTGCAATAATTCCTCTTAATGAGCAAATAACTGTTACTGTTACCACAATTTGTTTGCCAAAAGTCATCACCGAGCTTCGAACAATTAACCCCGAAAGAAGAATCACCCTCCACCAAGACAATGCAAGCTCGCACAGAGCCCAAAAAACAAGGCAGTATTTAACGGAAGAAAACGTGGAGTTATTGGACCATCCTCCATATAGTCCCGGTCTAAGTCCTAACGATTTCTTTACTTTCCCGAAAATTAAAAACAGACTGCGTGATCAAAGGCTCCAGTCACCAGAAGAAGCAGTTGACGCATTCAAAAATGCCGTTTTGGATCTGCCAGCAAATTAGTGGAATAAGTGCTTCGAAAATTGGTTCGAGCGCATGCAGATGTGTATTAATCTTCGTGGAGAATACTTCGAAAAACAATAAATACATTTAAAACTACCTACCGCGTTGTTTTATTTCCATATGCAAAACTTAAAAGACATCCCTCGTATAGTCAATTCCATGAACTGTATGCCACTAAAGTAGCAAATCGCCAAGCTAGGTGTTTTAGTCGCTATTTGAAACCATCAAAGTGCCACTTTATAAGTATTTGGAGTACTTTATGGGTATTTGAAACACTATTTGAGTATTTGAAGCCCTGCTATATATCAAATCAGTATTTGAAAAATTTTTTTTTGTTTTCATGTATGAAATAAAAATACCTTATGAAGAGTACTTGAAATATTAAGTACAAATACCACAAGAAATTTAGACTTTGTGGTAAAGGATTTCAAATACAAACTACTATTTGGAATAGAATGTTCGAGAAACTAACTAACTAAAATAGTAGGTAGGTAATAGGAGCCTAGGTGGAGTAATAGATTTAGGGTGGCATGTCCGTCATCTGTATTTTTTTGCAAATTAAAAGTAATGAATAAGTTATAAACATAACAAGGCAATCTAAGCCGATGTTCCACACAGTGTGCCATTCTATGGTATAATGAATTAAGAGCGCTTTGGAGCTTATAAGTTCAACATTTACTCACATGGCGGTATACTTTTGCAGCTAGAGAAGGCAATAAATAGTCATTATTGATCTCGTTTTAAGAAAAATCAATATTATAGAATACCAGCACTGTCATCGCATTAAGAGTCCTTGACGTGGTTATAGTTAACTATTGACCAACGAGTAGGGTTATTACGTAAAGGACCTATACAGGGTGTCCGCAAAGTTGGGGTTTTCCTTTTCAGAAACAACTACCCTTGAAATAACAAAGGTAATGTGTAGTGAAACGACCAAGTAAAAAAAATAAAGAAAAAAGTTCTCACTCTCCAGTTGACGAGAAGGGCTAAGTACGTCTCTGCCCGAAATCATACCGCTCCAACAGAAAATGAAATCAGCTGATGCGCTACCGAGCAGACGCCGGCGGTGGTGCAGACCAGTAGACCACGAACAGAGGTAACAAATATGACCATCGTGCAGAAACCACATTGATTGTCTTACACTTAATGGCACATCTTCTAACAAGAGAGGCAAAATGTTGCGTAAAAAGTCTAGGTATTGCATGCCGTCCAATCGATTTGGGAGAATAAATGGTCCAATGAGCATACCGTTCACCATGCCAGCCCAAACATTCACCGAAAATGGTTGTTGAAAATGTGCCCGACGGACAGCGTGCGGATTTTCTACTGACCAAACATGAGTGTTGCGAAAGTTATTCACCCCATTACGCGTGAACGTAGATTCGTCTGTTACCAATATGCACATCAAAAAGTCCGGATTATTGTCATGTTGATGCAACAACCACTCACAAAACCGCACTCTTGCTGGAAAATCAGGTTGAAGGGCTTGTACATGTTGGACGTGGAACGTATACAGCCCCTCTTCACGCAGCGTGTGCCACACTTTAGTTTTTGATACTTGCACTTCTCTAGCCACGTCTCTAGTGCTTGTTGCTTTTTGAAACGCAATCGATTATACGGGATCGTTTACCTCTACACGCGTGACCGTAACCGTCGGTTGAAGGTTGCATACTGACCTGACACACTGACCCCGACCCAGTTCTGTCGTCGGGTTGATCTAGTGTCCTAGTACCACTCGGGGATGTCGCGGGTCGCGGCTACAGGACGGTATTCAGATATTTTTGATGTTGCGGAGCCCTTTATCTCGGTTCCCTTAAGACATTGGTGTATATGGTACTAAGAAAAATTGCATATGTTTTCAAGATCTACACGTCGTGTAAAGGAAAACCCCAACTTTGCGGACACCCTGTATAATGTCAAAAACAAAACTGATAAAGTGTTAACTTGTTGACTAAGTAGGGCTAGTGCTCAAATAGTTAATTCCGCGCTTACTACAAGTGGGCATGAAATGAACGACAGCTATACTACAACTATTTAAAACTGTAATGACTCATACGCGTGATCAACACGTGATCAGAGCTCGATCCCGGCTTCCTTCCAGTACAGCCGTATAGCGTACGACATATGTCGTTTCTGTGGCTTTGCGGTGGTCAACAGAGATGGAAATAATGACTGATTGTTATCCGCCGATAGAACCAATGAAATCTAAGACGCGCCTCGACCGGCAGACTCATAGGCGTCGGCAACGCATTGGAACGTGTTTCGTTGAGCGATCGCATATTGTGTGTTTTTATAAGAATTGTTGTGTGATTGTTATTGTTGTGGTTTCTGTGGTTACTGTTTTGGTTATACTTAACCATGGAGAGTACAAATGGCACGAGTGGAAGTACTGAAAGCCAGGGAACAAGTAGACGGCTTCGTAAAGCACTGAAGAGGGACGCGAAAGAAATCGTGCTCAACGTTTTCAATTATCTGAACAGAACTATGTCGCAGGGAGATGCACTCGCGCGTTGTGAAAGTATGACAGGCGTTCCAGAGTGGACCATTCGTAGGGTGGTGCATGAAAAGAAGAAAACTGGAGCTACTACTGATCCAAAGTTTAATTTGAAGGGACGAAAGGCCGTTAAATTGGATGACGATAGCAAAATGGCGTTAAGGCGAACCGTACATTCATTCTTCTTTAGGAATGAGATACCAACCCTCAAGGCTGTACATGCAGCGATCAAGGAAAATGAAATTATACCCCAAATGAGCGTCGAGGTAATGAGGAAATCCCTGCACGAAATTAATTTTCGTTACGAAAGTCAGTATTGATAGAGAGACCTGAAATAGTCGCCTGGCGTCGAAAATACCTACGCGAAATGATTGAATATAGGCGACAAAGCAGAAAAATCTATTATTTGGACGAGACATGGGTAAATGCAGGTCACACAGTTAGAAAAACCTGGATAGACAAAAACGTAGTGAGTAACCGACAAGCAAGCATTGAAGGTTTGTCAACAGGTCTTCGTGGACCGTCAGGGAAAGGTCAAAGATTGATCGTAACTCATATTGGTAGCGATAGTGGCTTTTTAGAAGAGTGTGACTTGACTTTCGTCTCTAAGAAAGGTGGTGATTACCATGACGAAATGAATGCAAGCTGCTTCGAGAGCTGGTTTCAAGGGGTGCTTCAGCGAGTTGATCCCAACTCTGTGATCGTCATGGATAATGCTTCCTACCATAGTCGTCGAGCCGAACGTATACCGACTATGGGATCTCGAAAAAGTGACATGCAGCAATGGTTGCGCGAAAAAGGAATCTGTGCTGCGGTTACCGCCCTACCACTGTGAACTGAACCCAATAGAGCTCATCTGGGCTCAAGTAAAGGGTTATATTGCGCGCCATAACACAACCTTCAAATTACCAGACGTTAAGGTTTTACTTGAGACTTCCATACAGCTAGTAACGCCCGAAGCTTGGCAGAATGCTATCCGTCATGTTGTGAAGGAAGAAACAAAAATGTGGCTTGACCACCACATCGACACCATCATAGAGCCAGTTATAGTCAATTTCAACGAGGAAAGCGATAGCGACAGTTTATTGCCGTCAGATGTAAGTGGAAGCGACGATGAATAAAGGTAATTCCCAAATTTTTGACTTACAATATGTTTCAAACCACTCTTTATTAAGCATGTGACAAATCTAGTTCACCCATGTTAAACATTCATATCCCGCCTATGAACAGCCGACTACTGGTAGTTAAGTGATGTTCACGTGAACATCGATGAGTCATTACAGTTTTAGATAGTTATAGTATAGTTCCAAGTTCACGTCTTGTTGAAAAACCTACATTATGTAATAAAAAACCTACATAATGTCAAAAAAACTGCATCATGTCACTTTTAGTTACGTAATACCCCTGCCGACCAACTAAAAAAGCCAATGATCTAGTTGTAAAATTCATTTGTTCGATCCGAAATTGCATTCCGATCTACGAGGGCCGTTCAATAAGTACCCGTGTTAGAAATCCATTGTTTCGATTGTTGCTTAGTTTCTAGTGTGTAATGATGAATTCATGTTCCCCACCGTGAGAAATCGCGGCACACATCGGGCCGACAAATTTTTCATAGCCAACTTGTCATGTAAAATATTGATTGCCGTTCCGGTCGACACACCTATAGCCTCTGCTACTTCGCGCACTTTCGTTCGTTGATCAGCGAGAATCATGTCGTGAACTTTTTGAATGATCTAATCGGTAACCACGTCTGGCTGGCGTCCTGGTCGATCCTCATGAAAAACGGATATTCGCCCAAGTTTAAATTCGTTGAAAATATCTAACTGTGGTCATGGATGGCGAAGTGTCCCCATAAATAGCATCCAACTTTGCTTTTATCTCCTCGCATTTTTTCCCATCCAAAAACAAAAAGCGAATTACGGAACGATACTGATCTATTTCCAACTTGGCGAAAATCACGAAACACGTGTTACTCGAATGGTTGCCAAATCCAAACTAACCTATCAATCAGACTGAAATTTGTTGTGTCATCGTTTGATAGATGGCAGCACACGATGATAACATTAACTACCCTCAGGAACGCCCTCTGTCGTCAAACACGAATAGTTATTGAACCGCCCTCGGATAATGATATCCTGTAGTGACGTTCAATCTAATAAAATCGAAGGTATTTAGATCTGGTTTGCGAAATATCTATGGTACAAAGAAGATGGTACGTATGCAGAAGTTGACTTCAGGCTGGATGTATTACTTAGCAGATATAACCTCTGTAACTTGGAGGAGGGCAGGGACTATGCTGCTTATGTGTTTTTACATAAACTACTCAACAACGCAATAGATTGTGAATATTTACTTAGTAAGATCCTCATTCACGTACCTTATACTAAAACGCGATCAAATTCATAATACCTTTAGTTAAGCCTAGCTAGAACCAATGCGTGGAATTCCTCTCCGATACGTGTAGTATGTAACAACTATGAAGACCTATTAAAGCGTATCAATGATTGCTAAAAAGCACGAAACAACGTGGTTGCACAAATGGTAAGCACGTAGATCATTTTCAATCAGTAATAATTTCCCATTCTAC